TATGAAGGATTACATATTTAAGGGGTCTGTCACTAGAATTACTTAGACCCTAATGGTTCATGAAAAATCAGTAACAGAAGTTCAAGACAGTATCAAATCAACCTATGTTAAAGATGTGTACAGTTCCCTTTGTACAGTCACTCATTAACATATATTTGTTCAGTGTCTGTTAATAACCAATGTATAAGGGAACAACAGTTCCTATAGTGGTGGGGTTCTAGTTCTGCTGTGCTTCAACAATATCTAGGAATACAATGTGAATCATACCTTCTAACATAAAGTCCCAGGCTGGCAGTCAGCTAAGCACACATCTATGGCAATGTGCTAAGCACTAACACAGAAATAAACGCAAGAAGATTGGGGACCACAAAAGAGAAAATAATCCACCTACTCAAGAAATCAGGTAACTATATGGAAAAACTTGGCCTGCATACATGTACTCAGTAACTCAATAGTAGTTATGAAGAAGCTACTAAGAGACAGCAGGAATCCAACCTGAAACTATGTTTGTAATAAGGTCAAGAGCATTCTAAACCATTCAGCTTAAATTAAACCACTGTAGGAGAGCTAAGGAACAAAATACACCTCATCATTAAATTTTAACCAAACAAAACACGTATACATAAGTTAAATTAACACACCCTATCAGTTCAAAGGGAGCTTATCACTAAAAGCTAGGGTAAGCTCTCTGGGAAACCTCATAAAAAATATAATTAAAACTTTTGTTGTGGGGTTGATGAGGTAAAGTAAAAGTGTTTGCCACCAAACCTAACAACCTGAGTTCAATCCCACATGGTAGAAGAAAGAAGTGACTCCCAAAAGCTGTCCTTTGACCTCCATACACATGCTGTGGCAAATGAGTGCCCCCCCACACTAAATAAATGTAATAAAAAATTTAAAACTTCTGTTGTATCAGGTATGATGGCACACACCTATACTCCCAGTACTTGGAAATGGAGTTTGAGGGATTGCTACAAGTTAGAAGTTAGCCTGAGCTACAAAGAGAGACCCTACACCAGGCTGGAGAGATGGTTTAGTGGTTAAGAATGCTTAATACTCTTGCAGAGGACCTGGGTTCAGTTCCCAGCACTCACATGGTGGCACTTACATACATGCAAGCAAAACACTCATACACATAGAATAAAAATAAATTTAATTTTTTTTTTAATTTTTTAAAGGAGAGACCTTATACCAACAAACAAAACAAATGCAGTTGGTAGGAAGAGGGATTACAAGGAAGGGGATCCATACCTTGAAAAATACCTGTGTTGTCAGTTAGCAAAAGCAGAACTCTAAATTGCATTATCTGTGGGAGTGAGGGGGTCAAAGGTACACACCAGAAGGCACTAGGGTAAAAGTTGAATACACAAGTGAAGGCTTGCCTTGGAAAAGCCTGCAACACAAGTTGGCAGTATGGACATTCTTCTAAACTTGTCATTTTCAGTCCTGGCTACTGAAGAGAATCACCTGGAGAGCCTTAAGAGGTATACTCACAGTCAACCGCCCTTCCAGATCAAAGGAAGTCTTTGGGAAATGGAACAGCGTGACTGTAATAAACAGTCCAGTTTGAGAATCACGGGGCTTAATAACAGAAAGGTTAACTGTGAGATAACATTAAGACAGAGACTTGTCTTATGATCCTACTTATAAGAAGCAGTTCTGAGCTGGTTACCTGTGGAAGCTTATCCTCCAAACTGAATTAAACAGTCTGTTTTCTTAGTGTTTCTTTTTCTTTGCGAGACAGGCCAAGATCTGAAAATAGGAAAATCACCCATTACTTCTCATGCATGACCAGCTCACTGTACAACCCGCAACTTTAGAATTTTACTTCTGTGATGTTTCAGAGAAACTAATCTAGAAAATATTCTAATTTTAAGGCGCCTTTATAATCCTGCAATGCAGTGCTTTTATATCAGGGAAAGTTCTAAGCGGCATCCAGGTACAGATTTTACAAAACTTCTTTCAAACACCAGGAGACTATAATGTTAATTTATACAACAGTCATACTGCTTAGACTAGGTGTCCAACCTTGTCACACTGTGACACAACCTTGCCATCTACAAGGTTCATGCTCAAAGAACCACAAATTCACGTTTACTCTTCTTAAAGTTCTAAGTTTAGCATTTTATGTTTGGCTGCAGGTTGCCTGGCACAGTATTCATTATTCCAGTACCTGGTGGCAACAGGCTGCTCCACAATCCACTTACCATCAAGTTTCCTCAAGAAATCTGCCCATTGTTTTAAGTAAAGAGCTATCTTCTCTATGTGCAAAGTTGGCCACAAACCTTCTAGTCTGTTAGTTCACTTTTAGTGGTAAAACGTTACCCACACATTAGCTGGGATTTGGCAGTTAGGTTTATGTGGCCTTTTTTCTCCCTATGAGGTAGAGAAAAGCAAAAGGGCCCAGAGAGATGAGAACTCAAGCATCAAAATGTTCAATCTTAGTAAGAGCCTAGAAAACTCATGTGTCTTCAAGAAATACAGAAACAGAAGAGCTGGTCATTCGCTTGGATCTCTCCTATTCAGAAAGCAAAAAAAAAAAAAAGAAAAGAAAAGAAAAGAAAAGAAAAGATAAGCTTCTAAAAGAAAATGCAAGCCTAAGTCTCCGACACAGGGGTGAAAGTTACAAAAAGCCAGCAAGTTTGGGTGGATCTGAAGCAAAGTCAAAGGATAAGAAGAGAGATAGGGGAGACAGCACAAGGTGAGCTAGTCGGGTAAAGGCCACCCGGTGGGAACCTGGCTGCCCAGCTCTTTATGCACCCAGGGCAGCATGGGGCCTCTCTCGGACGGCGCGCAGCGGTCGCAGGGTGCAGGGGAGCCCCCAGGGGCCTGGCACCGCGGGTGCAGGCAGGCTGTGAAGAAGAGGGTGCGCGCCCCGCCACGGTCGCCCCGGGCCGGCCGGAACACTTGAGGGTCCCCAAGAAGGAGGAACACTCTCCTAGCCCTCGCCTCCCGGAGCAAGCAGGGGGTGGGTGGAGCTGAGCCCGGGGACGCCCCCCGGAGCCGCCCCCGCAGCCGCGGTCCAGGTTGTCAGCGCCCCCTCCCGCGGCCACTCACCCGCCGGCAACGCGCTCTCGGCCGCGGTGGCGGCGACCCCCGCCTGGGCCATCTTCTCAGGCGGGGAAGTCAGGGGTGTCTGGCCGGCCAGGCGAGTCTCTCGGTCCGCGGCCGCCGTCTGCTCCTCCGGGGCTGGGGGAGCGCGGGCCCAGGCCCTCCTCTCCCCCCCCCCCCGCCGCCTCCTCTCGCGGC